GGATTGAGACAAAAAAATGGCAAATCCCCTTTCCACTAACTCTAATGAAAGACCATTATTTATAATGCTCTATTTATGCCAGGTTACAAAAGTATTATTTCCCTGAAATAGAACATAAAACATTTTGTTAGGGATTGAAAGCCAGGTTGAGTGGCACAAGTAGTTTTATGAAGCAAAGTTTTGTAGAGAGATATGTAGGTATAAGTAATTTAAAACTAGAATGGTAGCCAGGAAGAAGGTCATACATGATCAGAAATTTCATTAACCCCTTAAGGACCCCTTAACAACCTTTTTAAGATGCAACTCGTTTGTGACCAAGGCCCTTTTGGCGTGTTTGCCATGCATTAATTCTTCCACAATTTCTGTTTAAAAGGACCCTATGGTCATCAGAACAACTACAGCTTAATGTAGTTGTTCTGGTGAGTATAGTCTGTCCCTGCAGACATTTTCATGTAAACACTACCTTTTCATAGAAAAGGCAGTATTTACAATAAAGCCTAGGAACCTCCATTGGCCACTCCTCAGATGCCCACTGAAGGTGCTTCCTCCACACGGAGACACTGAACGTTCCTCGTACAGATGCATTTATTCAATGCATCTCTATGAGGAGATGCTGATTGGCCAGGCTGGCTTTATGCTCGGCCCCTACACCACCTCCTGGACAATATCAGCTAATCCAATGCTTTCCCTAATGGAAAGCATTGGAGTGGCTGAGATTATCAGATCTGATGATGTCAGCCAAAGAGGCAGATATGGTAAAGGACCAGCGATGGCAGACTGGAATAAAGGTACGTTTTAACCCTTTCCAAGGGGAGGCATGCCGCCTACATGGTAGTTTTAACACTATAGGGTCATTAATACATGTTTGTGTTCCTGACCCTATAGTGTTCCTTTAAGTATTATACCTACAAATACATACATATAATATACAATATATACAATAATATATAATGCAACATTAAATAAGAAAATAATATAAAAAATATTGGGATAAAAACTTTATATGAAGTAATTTCTACACATCAAGTGCAAGTAAAGAAACCTAGCTCAAAATAGATTCACTAATTAGTCCTGGTTGTTAAATGGCACAATATGTCTAGGATTACAATTATATTTTATAAATTATAAAACTAATACTGCAAGGAGTAAATTATGGTTTTAAAGCTAACTTTTATAGTAATCACATAATCCAATACTGCTACACAAAAGTATATATTTGTAGAAAGTACATCCTGAAGGCAATGTAATAAAGAGCATTTTGACATTTTTCTTTTAACCATTTTATCAGAAACCTAACCAAATTAGATTTCCACTTGTTTTATTTTTGGGAACTTCACAGACCACACATGTCCCACTACTGTAAACACCATATATTTATATTCTGCTACTGTTCTCGAGTACAGTGATACCCCACATGTATACCCTTTCCCCTAATCCAAGCTATAATCCAACTCTTAATCTAGCCTCTTTTACTACCTATAATCCCAGTCCTAATTCCACCTTTTAAGGGATTTCCTCTCCTGATTACAAGATGAGAGGGAGAGCCCTCTTTCATGCCGCAGAGCCCAGCACCCATGCTGCTGCAGGGGGCAAACAGAGAGCTTTTTTCAGACCCTGGGGATCTCTCTGAAACGTGGGGTTACTGTGCAGGGCTGAGGGGATAAAAACATTTTTAAATTTACAGCTGTATCGTGATCGTGCTACCGCTGCATTTAAAGGGCTATTAGCAGCATTAATTTTGAGTGCTGCCCATAGCCCTCTGTCAGTCTGGGGCCTATAAATATGGCCAGAACTGACAGAAGGGATCCCCGAGGTATCAAAGGATACCTAGGGATCCACTTTTTTGGAATCAGGAAATCTGGGGGCAGTGAAAGAAATACCATGGCTGAGCAAGATCGCTCAGCAGCTGTATTTAAAGGGTATGCTCACATCTTATCTGTCAGTCAGACCGTCAGTCAGATGACAGAGGGCACTCCCAGGTATCAAAAATACCTGGGATTCCTTGGTACCAGCAGGGATTTAAACCCTGCTGGTACCTTTACTGCATGACGGTATATGCCATCATTGGGCATTAAAGCTCTGAACTGAATGAAGGCATAGACCATCGTATAGTCCTTAAGTGGTTAAAATCAATGATAGGTGGGGGAGGGTGACATGATATGCACGCTCCCATCCCATGGCTCTTAGGTTCTGGAAGGAGGAGGAGGAGGAGGAGACGCCCGGACTGCTGAGATACTGACTAGCTCAACCCTGAAAGCCGCACCTGTTGCTGCACCTGACGCTGTATTCGATGCCTCACTTGATGTTCAGCGATGTTTGTACAGTCTGTGCTTCATAGACTTCGCAGACTTCTTTACTGAATGAACGCTGTGAACGTGTGACCCACTTATAAAGAAGCCGTGAATGCTGTGAAAAAGTGCCGTAGGTTTGGAACCGATATCTGGTGCCCATAAGCTGATACATTTGACTTTTATAATGAGGAGCTAATGGAGGTGCAAACCTATAATGTTAAACAATAAGGACGTTCCAAAAGTAAATTAAAGTTAAAGCATTAAATACAGCTGACAGGCCTCATATATAGATAACAGCAGGGCCAGATTAACAGCCCAGTGGGCCTGGTGCTGACAATTATGACGGGCATAATTACAGAATGATATCGACCAAAAACAGTAAAACATTCCCAAGCGTCATGTATCTGAAGGAGATGGTGTTGGAGAGAAAGAAAACATCAGCCATAAGAAAACACATACCCTATGCTAATCTCCCTCTAATTTATGTTTTCATCTTTCAAATAAATCCATAACCCCTAACAGCAACGTCCAATCAAGCAGGAAGTCAATGGGCATGGTAAAAGGGTGTGCCCCTGACACAAATCACATAACCTGCCAAAAGGGGCGAACATGCCCAAAAAGAGGACATGTCTGCCCAAAGAATTAGAAGGCCAGCCTGGCATGAATGCATGTCAGACTGCCTGCCAATCATGCCACTGGCCAACTAAGGGCATACTATGCAGACAGCACCCTGAGCTTGGCATAAATGCATCTAATGATGCGCTTGCTCAACGCTTTCTAAGGACTGTCCCCTAGCACTCGCTGGTCCACTTATCTCCTTACCTTCTTACTAGCAGGCAGAAGCTCCTGGTAGATCGTCTGGGACAGAGAAAAGCTGTATGTAGTGAGTGTAGAAGAAAGGGAACATGCCACAGTGTTAGAGTCCAAAGTCAGCATTACCTTAAAGGATCACTATAGGGTCAGGAACACAAACATGAATTCCTGACCATATAGTGTTAACACCACCATCTAGCCCCCCTGGGCCCCTCATGCCTCCATAAATATAGCAAAATCTTACTGTATTCAAGCCTGAAGCTGTAACTCTGCATGCTGTTAGACTCAGAAAAACAAGCAGTCTGCTGACATCACTAGAAGTGGTGGCCTGATCCAATCACAGTGCTTCCCCATAGGACTGGCTGAGACTGACAAAGAGGCAGATCAGGGGCAGAGCCAGCATGATTCAAACACAGCCCTGGCCAATCAGCATCTCCTCAAAGAGATGAATTGAATCAATGAATCTCTATGAGGAAAGTTCAGTGTCTGCATGCAGAGGGAGGAGACACTGAATGTTTGGATGCATTTTAGGCAGCCATGACCCAGAAAGGATCTCTAATAGCTATCTGAGGAGTGGCCAGTGACATTATCACTAGGCTGTAATGTAAACACTGCATTTTCTCTGAAAAGACAGTGTTTACAGCAAAAAGCCTGACGGTAATGATTCTACTCCCCAGAACAAATTCAATAAGCTGCAGTTGTTCTGGTGACTATAGTGTCCTATATTCATTGTCAGCCAGTCCACACAAGTTTTGTTCCCATACATCCCTCTTAAGTTTCCATACTTAAGTAAGAGTATGTGAAAAGTAGTTAGGGTTGCCACCTTTCTTGGAAAAACATACCAGCCTTACTAATTTGCATAATGAAATATGTATGAGTGACATCACATGATGTAAATCACAAGGAGTGACATAAGAGAAAATGCTGTAAAATCACCAAAAAACTACTTAGTTTGATTCTGCTATATAGATGGATTCCTCCCAGTGCCCCCATGTCTCCCAGTGCCCTCATGACTCAGTGCCCCCATGTGTCGATTACCCCAGGTCTCAGTGTTCCTATGTATCAGTGTCTCAGTGCCTCATGTCTCCCAGTGTCCCCTAGTGTCGTGTCCCTAGGTCTCCCAGTGTCCCTATGTATCACAGTGTCTCAATGCCCCATGTCTCTCTGTGTCCTCCAGTATTCCCATGTGTCTTTCCCCATGTCACTAGGACACTAGGAAGATGGGGAGATCTGGAGACACGGGGAGACCTAGGGACACGGAGACACCAGTGAGATTGGGAGACTAGGGGACACTGGCTGGGACACATGGGGACACTGGGAAAATAGGGGAAACTTGAAGACATGGGGACACAGACACTAGATACACTGGCTGGGGGACATGGGGACATTGAGACACTTGAGGCACTGGGAGACATAGAGGCACTTGGAGACAGGGGGACAATGAGACACTGGCAGACTGGGGTCACTAGGAGACTGGGGGTCACTTGGAGACTAGGGGGCACTGAGACACCAGGGACACTGGCTGGGAGAAATGGGGACACTGAGAGACATGGGGACACTGTGTCCCCATGTGTCTGTGTCATAATGTCTCCCAATGTCCCTTAGTGTCTCAGTGTCTGCCATAATGTCTCCCAGTGTCCCTTAGTGTCTCAGTATATGTCTCCTTGCAGCCTTTCCCCCCATCCCTTACTTCCCTGAGCAGTAGGCTGTCTCTGCAGGGTGGGTGTTGTTGTCTGTACTCTCTGTAGCTGCACCCCTGCAGATCAGCGAGTATAGATAGGCAGGGAGGGCTATGCTGGAACTTCCTATCCCTGCCTGTCTCCACACAAGGCGACCCCTACTGGCCAGTGCTGGTATTGCAGAGTAATCTCTTGTTTATACTGAGAAAAATACCAGCATTTGTATTGCCAGTATCACTGCAATATTGGCACCAGCCAGGCAGTCTCAAATACTGGCTGTGCCAATAAAATAAAAGCCAGGTGGAATTCCTAAGAGTAGTGTGTGAAAAAAAATCAAAAAATTTTTTTTTTAAATCAATGGGCCTATTCCATAGGCCTGGGCCTGGGCCTGGAGCTGCAGCTCCATCAGCCCCTATGTTAATCCGGCCCTGGATAACAGGCAACCAGCATATATATACAGGATAGAACTAAAGGAAGTGGCAGTGGAAGTTAGCATAAATCCTTGACTTTCTTAATAATACTGAAATTATGCATGCCAAGAAGGACAGAGATAAAAATACTTCAGCAACCACGGATAAGAGTAAGAGTATCAGTATTTTCTGTTCACCTAAACCTTAAGAACGGACTATAACTAATAGATTAACTAATAGATTGTCCCAGGGTGATCGAAAGGAGTCTGCTCCTTTAACTCAAGACCCCTCCCAGATGGCCTCCCAGTAAATACCACACTAAACATTTAATGATGCTTTGGATACTCTGTATTGTAAATTAAAACAAGACCTGGAAGACAATTCAAACCTATTAAGGTTAGAGATTGCTAATATTTCTACTATACTGCAAACTCAAGCAGACACACTCAATCAACTACAAGTAAATAATGATGACCTGATGTCAAAATATAGCCAGTTTGAAGGAAAATTCCAAGCTCTGGAGATAAAATTGGGGGACCTTCTAAAGACCCTGTGGTGGCGCAAGAAGCTATACAGTCTTGGAACTTAACACAGGTTAAAAACTATACAGAGAAGCGAAAAAAATAAAATAAATGATATGCTTGAACGATTGCGTTCACCCATATGTATTAATAGTACCTATATATATTAGACCTAAATTTACAATGTTTATCAGGGTAGGATGAGTCCACATAATCATAAGTTTTGCATATTTGCACACATTACCTACACACCACAATGTTTGGAATACTAATATTTAGAGATTTAAAAATCAAACCCACACTGTATATTTGTACTGTCTATCTGGGTAGGATGCCTTGATATATATTCGTATAATTATAAATTATAATTACAGGTAGAAAATGGATCAGCGCTGTGTGATTTTTTAGACATCCGCACACAGAACCTACCCCATACACAAACTCCATACCTACCCAGAACAAGGAAAAGAAGTCTAAGTATAGAGGAAGGAGAGGAGGTAGAAGATTACAAAAGAGAAAGGAAGGAGAGACCACAACAAATATAGACGAGAAAGAATTAGGCATGTTTAACCTCTCACATAAAGTTTTAACATCTACTCAGATTTTAGTTTTAAGTAAAGGTCTTAAATATGCTCCTACAAATCCATTTAAACCTTTCCAAGCATTTTTAGACATCAATAAGTTTGTGAGAAAGGCCACAATAAAAAGATTCTTTGCCCAAAATAGTAATACCCTCACAGAATCAAGCTCAGTATCACAAATCCCCGATTCTGACATAACCACTGAACGTTCTACTACTCACACTCTTTTAAAAAATCCTTCCAAATTTTATCCCTCCAATTTTAAATCAGGTTCTATAGAAATCTTTGAAAAATTGGTCCTTAAAGATTTTGAAAAAATTAAGCATACTAAATATGACCATCAGAACCTTACACAGAAGGAATGGAAGGCTCTAAAAGAACTCCAAAAAGACGATGAAATCGTTATCAAACCCGCCGATAAAGGTGGGGGTTTAGTCATTCAGTCCCAATTGATGTATAAAAATGAAGCTAATCGCCAACTTAATGACCCTGAGGTATATGACAAATTACTATATGACCCTACCGCTAAGGTCAAAGAAATTTTAAATGTATTTTTAAGAAAAGGATCAGATATGGGAATCTTAAACAAACATGAATTTAACTACCTCACCATTCCCTATCCTAAAATCCCAGTGATTTACTTTCTTCTGAAAATCCACAAGAATGCAGAAAATCCCCCAGGGAGACCTATCGTATTGGGTATTAATTCTGTCCTATCTAATCTTTCTGAATATATAGACATTTTATTACAACCTTTGGTTAAACAAACTAGATCATATCTGAAAGATTCTATGACTCTTTTATCCTTTTTTAAGTGATTTTAACTGGCATCATGACTATATATTGGCAACATGCGATGTGCAATCATTGTACACTATAATTCCTCATGACATTGGTTGCCAATCAGTGGAAAGAATTTTAAAACAAAACAGTTCTATTCCAGATTCTCAAATTGATTTTATCATACAAGGTATAAGAATTATCCTTACAAACAATTACTTTTGGTTTTTAGATTCTTTTTATATTCAAAAGAAAGGTACAGCTATGGGAACCAGGTTTGCCCCCAGCTATGCTAACCTCTTCATGGGCGATTGGGAATCTACGGCGGTCTGGGGGGATCATAGCTGGCGGGCAAATTTGGTCTCTTACTTTCGTTACATAGACGATTTATTTTTTATTTGGCAAGGCTCGGAAACTTCTCTTAA